TCTATGATGGCTTTCCATGGATTCAGCTATAAGACCATCTTTTTTATCACTGCAAGTCCCTAGTCTCCCATGTTACACACCTTCTGTCTTCTGCAACAAATGAACTCTGTCTTCAGTGGACAGCAGCTTCCTTTATTTCTTATCCGTTGACAACCCCTGATTATCTCCTGAGCACAGTCCAGTCCTTCTCCTGTCTGGAAGGCAGGCAGGCACCTTCTGTGAAGCTTGATACAAGAACCATAATCAAGGTCTGTGAAATTGAAAAGGTCTACATTGAAGCCAAATAAGACTGCACATGTAAGTTTAAGCCTAGCTTTTTCTACTTTATGAATGCTTCATGTTGTGGCTTTAATAACAGTCTTCTAAAATAATTTCAGTTGCATAATTTAGTTATTTTACAAAAAAAAGCAACAAGAGAAAACTGCACAAGAGAAATTTCTATTGTGCCATGTTATATTGAAAATCAAGAGCATCATTATGAGACTGAAATCCACCTCACTGCTGGTTGAAGCACCAGGGGTAATAACAGATGGAGATGGCCATCATGCTCCAGGTGGACACACATGAGATGCCTGTGTGTATTTACTGATGAAGGTCGAGAAACCTCAGGAACAGGAGTCAAGCTCTGAAAGAGTGTGCCTCGTGGGAACACACACTTCCACTGCTCCTCACCAAGCCTTTCTCCACTGACTCTTCCAATTTGTTCTCATCTCCATCTCTTTCCCCAGCCCTTCCATGCAACCCAGGTTCACCCAGTTCTAGCAGCTGTTCCTCAGGCATCTCTCCCAAGTCAGGACACTTCCTGGCCTTCTAAATCACAGCCTTCCCTCCAACAGTCCCCCTGTTATCCCCTGCCTCTGGTCTCAGGCTTCTTAGCACTTCCTCACTCCTGTCCCATGCACTCCTGCTGTGCCTACCAAAAGCTTTGGCACCGTCTGTCTCGCCCATCTCCTCTCTCTCTGACTGATTTATCCACACTCTCTCACTTCCCCTTGGCAGGGACAGCAGGCACTTTATATGCTTGTTCCTGGTTTGTGCGCTGTGCTCCTTCCAGCAGAGCATGACTGCAGCAGGGAATGGGATGAAGGAAGGCTCCAGTAGAAGCCTGCTGTGCATGCAGCCTGCTGAGGAGAGCAGGGAACAGACACTGCCTGGACCAAGGATGGCTGAAAGAAAAGCTGCCTAGAAGCAGAGCAGACTGAGCAATTCAGCTCAGTGCAGTTCTGTGCAATTCAGAAAGTCACTGAGCTGGGCAAAGCAAGCCTGGAAGCAAGGACACCCTGGGCAGGTGGAGATGCATTCATCAGACTTTTTTATTTCTGTACTGTCTTGTCGATTCACTTTGATCTTTCTGTATTTTAAAAATAACTACAGGTAAAACTGACTGGTAAAACGTATTGTTTTGAGTTTAAAGTTTTTTGAGTTAAAAGTTTTTCTGGGTCCTTTGGGGATACTCATTATAAGGAATAGGTTGAGGCTTATCTATTTCCTCAAAAACCATCAATAGACTTGAGGTTCTGTCCCAGCTAGTCCCAGCTGAATTCCTCTCTGATCGTGGTGAGTCCTCTTAGAGATCCCAGTTTAACACATTTTCTCCTGTAGCTTTCCACCTCAGTCTTCTTGCCTTGACAAGTCACTACCCTCCTAATGTTAATCCAACAGTGCCATTCTCACTCCTCGTCTATCTCAGAGTCATCAACAATTTACAGGTCACCTCATCTGCTTTGTTACTCCTCCATCAGCTCCCCAAGGGCAGTTTGCCCAGACAACAACTTGGGCCTTGGTTTGAACATCAGTCTTCCAGAGCTTCAGGCAAAAATGTCAACACTTTTTTATTATTTATTTTATTTTATTTTATTTTATTTTATTTTATTTTATTTTATTTTATTTTATTTTATTTTATTTTATTTTATTTTATTTTATTTTATTTTATTATTCTTTTAGAAAAATACATAGTTATGGTGTGGTGCTTATTTTTTGTTTTTTTTTTTTTTTTCCTCAGCATGTGAGATATCTTCAGCTTTTGCAAGAAAACCATTTTGTTGAACATGTTGTTATCCTTTCTAAAGGTGCCTGTAGAAGACAATAAATGTTTGCATTCTGCTTCAGATGCTTTATTGTGAAACAATGCTTACTTTGAGGGAACCAGGGATTCATACCTTAAATGAAAATCTCTGGGAAAAATCGTTAGCTATTTTCTTTATGCGATCCCCTTTGTTTCTACATGAGAATATATGCATAAGGAAATCTAGTTCTTAGGTCTTGCAAAACTGATCTCCACTTGTGTCATTGTGAAAGGCAGAGAGTTCCAGCAATGCTTTGTAGGGCTTACTGCTGATGCTAATGAAGAACAATCGTGTTGGAGGATGAAGTTGTGGTCATTGGTCTTTAGGAAAGCTATGACCCAAATTTGCATTTACCCTCTAGAGGGTTCTAATTTATTCATTTTTAGTTTGAAATGATTCTCCGTCATAACCACAAGCATGTATCCTTCAGAGGAATGTCAAATCAGACTGGCTTTTTCTGCCTGGAACTAATTTGTACCCTAAATTAGGGGTAAAAACAGTGGAATTTATTGAAACAAGTAATATAAACAGGAGAATGCATGAAAAAAAATCTTTCAAGATTGAATAAAGCTGACCAACTAAAAATTAACAAAACCTGGGCACAACAGAAACATTCAAGAAAATAAGCATTGCTTAATAATAAAGTTGCAAACCTCTGCAATAGAAGAGGCACATTTGAAGTTAAGCACCTGTTGAAGGATTTTATTAGCTTTCTAAATCAGAAATATCATTTCACATTCCTTGTTTCCAGGATCAGATATCCGTCTCCTTGGAAGCAGGAGGTACAGCAGATAATGACCTCTGTTATGCTTTCAATGCTGCTTGCTACTTGCTGCTTTCTAAGCATGTCTTTCTGGTTTTCTAAAAGCTGTGAGAACAGTTTTCATGTTAGCAAATGAGGGTATCATGGCAGTTGCATGAGTTCCAGAACATGAAAGACAAAAGGTGCCCAGACGAACTTCACTCCTTGGGACTGTCTGTCTTTGGCACTCGAGGCTGCTGTGAAATTCGGAGCTGTGCCTTGGCTGCTGCAAGCTACAGCATCACACAGTTACACATCACAGCCCGTGAAGCACTCAGGCTGTGAAGGAACTAGTGCTAAGCACACCTGCACAATTTTGTTGTGATTTCACAGATAGCCTCAGCTGCTCAGCTTCAGAAGACATAAAGGAATGTCTTTTCTTCTGATATCCAGAGAGGATGATCTAGGTTATCTTTATTTCAGGGCAAAATTCACTTCAGCTACTGAAGCACTACGGCTTTCAGTGTTCAGTAAGAGTAAGAATTCTTAATATTTCCATCAAAATACATAAAAAGAAAAAAAAAAAAAAGGGTTTATCTTGTAACTCTTCAGATTGCCTGAACTAGGCTTAATTCATACTACCACTGTTATTATCAACTTTTTTTTTTTTTTTTAAGGGTAATTGTATTTGTGTTTAAAGCTATTTAACAGTTTTGTACCTTGTGTCAGATTAGATTATGGCCAATTGTGACCCATTAATGAAATGAGGGATCTCTGTAGGCAATAAAATGAGATAAATCAGCACATCCATGCGCACTTATTAAAAAACTTGACCCTGTGCCACACAGTCCATGCATCTGAGTGAAATACAGGCCTTACTTTCACCCATTAATTTTAGAGTTCTTGATCTACCAGTTGGAAGAACACAATATACTGTAATTGTACTGTATTTTTAACAACTTGTTAAAAAAAAAAAAGATTTTTGTAAAAGAACAATCATGAAGTGGAATTAAGCCAGTCAGATTACTGGCAGAGCTTTCTGCTGAGTATGATTAGATAAAAAGAAAATGGAGACTGGAAAAAATTGATCCTCTCAGCAGAATTTGCCGTAATTATATGCAGGATGAGAAATTAGCTATTATTCCACTGTTAAATTCCTTGAGTGGCAAGAAGGAATTGCATAATCTCTTGCATAATCTGCTAGTTCAATCTTTCTATGTAGAATGAAGAAACATTTTTCCTGTTAAGAAAAATGGTGACGTGGATAATCAAGTTCTATAAACCCATTAATTTCCCCCCCTTATGGGTCAGGCAGTGGACAGTATTGAGATCACCTTGCTAGCAGCTCTTCAATAGCCCAGCAACTTCTGTTTAAGAGTTTTTATTTTCAGTAAGTACAATAACTAAATTTCACACATGCATTTGGCCTTTGCAAGCCGAAATGCAAAAAGTCTCTGAATCTCAAGTACTATTCTTGTGAGCCAGATTCTTTTTAATGGTTCATTGCTCTCATGACCTGAACTCTGCCCTGTTGCCAATGGGCCAGAGAAGTTACATTACAGTGAACTGCATTCTTGTCTTTTTACTAATAAAACAGGACTTGGATTGAACTTTGGTTTCTGCAAGGAACTTGTCACTTGAAGTGCAGCTTTTTCAGTCCTACTTCAAGTGGAGGTAGTACCATTATGGCAAATAATAATTCTGAGAAGATACAAATGACTCATTAACTCAAAGAGGGAATAGACTACATAGCCTAATGAGAATGGGAGACTGACCTTAATGCTACCAAGTACAGTGAAATAGCAACAAAGACATTGTGAAAGGTTTACACAATGGCTGGCTCATGGATTAGGTACCAGAGTCAACCATAAGCACAGCTACACAAGTTTTTCAGTGTAAAACTTCTCAGTGCTTCTAGTTTCAAAAAATCAGGAACAGTTCTGTAGTTTACTCAGACTAGCAATGTGAAACATAATTAAAGGAAAAAGAAACAAAGCAAGAACCTATGAAAAGGGACAGCTTGTCAGAAAGATAACTACATACGGTTCAAAAAAGTACAGTAAAAAAAACACTGTGTTTAGCATGCCTCTAGATTAACAATGCTTTTTCCTTAAAAAAATGGCCATATGTGCTCTGCTAATAAAAAATGGCCATATATGCTCTGCTAATTCTCCCCATTTCTTTTATTACAGATGCTGCAAATAAGAATGGTCTTACAGTTCATGCCTGGATGGGTGATCTTACCTGTGATACTACCACAATCCACAGATAACCAGTCTGCTGAGATGGCCTCACCATTATTATAAATGACAAAACAATCACAATTAAAACATAGAAAAGAAGGAAAAAGAAAATCTGATTTTCTAGGCCCAGAAACATCTCTCAAATTGGCAGAGCTGTAGCTCTGTAATCTCCCCTTTACTCCCTGCAGCCTGTCATGTAACATTCTTCAGCTGGCATTGACACCTACCTGCTGGGGCTGTCCAGTTTGTCCAACTGCAAATTTGACTGTGAATGCACAGCTCTCCCCTTCATGCTAATAAAAAGGGTGAAACCAGAAAATGAATGCATAGGAAAAATTTAGAGGAAATAAGGACTATTACAGCCATGATTGATTAAAATGTGTGTGAACATCAGAGAGATGCAGACCAGTAATATTATGATACAAGAATGCATTTAGCATTAAGTATATAATCATATAAAATATGAGTATAACAGATATGAATCCAGAGAAAGTGTCTGTATTCAAATCATGGAAATTAAATTAAACGCCTTCTGAAAATAACAGCTCTAGCTATCTGTATGCCATATCTGGTGGGGAAAAGGGCATCTGGGACACGGCCTGGGAATTCTTCCTTGGAAAAAAAATATTTCTTCTGTATATGCCACAGGTTGAGATGCAGCACTTTTATGTCATATATTTTTTATATTGCAGTTTACGTCTTTAAGACAGAGGCAGATTAGTGGCAGATCTCATGTATTCTAAGTTCGCCACAGAATATATAGTTATGCATTGCTGTTTGGTATTCCCTCAGCTTTTTGTGAAAATGCCAATCACGTATGGCCAGTTCTAGGAAAAGTCTGTTGTCTGACAGTTTGCTTGAGGTGTTGCTGTCTGATAAACTACAAGACATCAGAATTTTTCGTAGGCAGGAAAAAACAAAAGATAGAAAACTATGTGATAAAAGTATGTACAGATACATCACTAGGTTTTCTCCAGAAGAGTGTTCTAGAATGGCTGGAGATCTGTGAGTTGTAAAAATTAGAATAAAAGACCTAGGAGAAGTGTGGTGATGGACAAGAGTGACATGAGGTCATCAGATATAGTTTTCCAAACAGCAGTGTTTATTAAGTAAATGAGCTATCCCATTAGCTTCTGCTTGTCCCCAAACAAATCTTCATTAACTAACCACTTCTGCCAAGCATGGCAAACAGCTCAGGCTTGATTACTGCAGGGAGTCATCACGGACTGAGCCAGAGAAACCACAGTGTAAGTACAAGTCTAGGAAAAGACATGCCAGTTGCCTCCAACATCAGCCAAGTATTAAAGTATGGATTCAGTGGTGACAGAGTGAGAAAGCTGTAGTGAGAGTAAAGACAAAGTGCATGAAATCCGAAGTTCTTTACAGAAACACATTTTAAGCAGACAAACTGATAAGAATCAGCAAAACAGCTATAGTGCATAATGGAAAGCTGACTGGCAGATGCCTGGCACATCAGCGACACATGAAACATTTGCAACCCTCATTCTACAAAATGATTTAATTGACATTACTGCTTTTGCAATGTAAGCCTCTTTTCACTTAAGTTAATTTGAGAAATGCAACACTTTCTCCCAAGTTGATGAAAACCCATCACTTTGTGACTTTCTGCACTTTGAGAAAGATATATGCTAATTTGGATTTTGCAAAATCTCTACAACTGCCCCAGTAAAAACATGCCCACTTCTCTCTGTTACACTGTCAAAAAGCAAGCATGCACCAGTTTTATTTTGAAAGTAAAATGTTTTTCATAACAATATGAATGAGCTAGATATTGCTGACAGCTTGAATTAGTAATTTCCCTGGGCTTCTTTCTCTCTCCTAAGAAGAATAATGTCATGCTCCAATAACAATAATAGATTTTTCAAGAGGAAAAATTAGACGTAAAAGACGATGCCAGATGATGTCAATGTAGCCAGTGCAATTCAGTGTCAGAAGCTGACAATGCCTCAAGGCTCATAGAATATCACTTTGCAGGTGAGAAAAAGAAGTACAGTTTTGAAACTGTAAGCTTAGACCAGGTGGATATGCCTAATCCTATGCCTATGATAAATTTCATGTCTCGAATTACTACACTGAAGTTGTTTGAAAACTATGCTGTTTATTTCTGGAGACTAGTGATAGTAACTGGCAACATTTTGTAGTTACACAGGTTAAGGTTTAGGATAAAAAAGACCTTTTTCTTTGTGCTTCTGCATACGTGCTGGCCGGAATACCTCATTGAAAGAGTCCCTGACTCCTCTCAACACATGCTGGAGAGGCAGCTGGCTGAAGATTCAGTAAAGCTTCATTTCCTCATCAGCAGTAGCTGGCAAATGCAGTTTTTGCCAGTTCTTTGAAGGTGATGTGAAGGGCATACATGTACCAAGAACATTCTGAGGAGGAGAAGACAGCTGGCTAGCAGGAAGTGCACTTACTTGCAGTACAAATCGAAATAATCTCTTTAATAGACACCTGTTAGTTTTGCAATGGGTGGCCTTTTTGTATAGTTGTTTAGCACATGCATATGAAATATTGTGTCAGTGGTCAGTTCACGATATGATTTTATAGACATCAGATGCAAGGTACCCGGGACTGCTCCATCTCATCCTACTAAGCACAATCTCTTTGCTAATTGTGGGGGTGGAAAGAGAGAGAGAGCCACTCCTCCTACCTCTTCCATTTATGAATGCAACAGAAACAATCTTGACATTTTCTTGTGCCACAACTTTGTCTGTTATTATAGCACAGAGAAAGGGTAAATATTTACCTCACTGCCATTCCCCAAGATGTTGTCTTTTCTAGCAGGATAATGGAAAACAAAAAAACAGCATTTGAAATGATTGTCCAGAAACTATGTTTTGCAAGCCATTTTTATACTATTCCCTAGGATCTGGTTCAAGATTTAAACTTTTGTCAGAAAGAGACTAGAAACATTTACATTTATAATTTTTTAAAATATCATAAACTGAATTCCAACAGATTGATACCCCTGACCCAGACTCTTCTGGTTGTAAAGGCACCTGCAGGAAAATAGAGGAGCCAGATGTTTCTGTGACACCAAGCATATGGAAATTATGAGCTAATTCTATGATGTTGGCAGCTGAGGACACTCAGCACCTTTTACAATTAGATCCTCAATTAGCAAAGTTTGTAGTGGAAAAAAATCTGTCTCACTTTTGAAGAGTAACAGACTGCTCTGATCTGCAATATTGTACTTAAAATATTAAAAAATCTATCTACAAAACAGATGGGAGAAAGAGTTACCCTTCACTTGATGAAATTCCAACACTGCTTCTGCAGTCCCATGAATTCCCCAAGCTCTTTAAGCTTTCTGTCCAGTGCCTACTCTAATCTGTCATGCTCATTATTTTCTATTCACTAGTTACACCAGCCTTTTAAAGGCAATAAAGGGATTCTGGAAGCCATTACTTTGATGACCATCTCATATCCCTCTCTATCCCCTGCCTGCGGGGAAACTGGAGACTCATCACAACCAGAAAATATGCCCTAAAAATGTGTCAACTGCTGGCTACGCTGTTGGATCAAATGACATCAACATAGTGTGCTAGATAGCACATCATCTGCATCTAGTCCACATACCAATTCATATGTGATGAGGGAATAAAGAGAAGTCAAAGCATTTTGTAAACACTCAGGCTGAAAGCCCTGCCCATCTATTTCTTACCATCATCTATTCATACAGGAAAAGGTGTTATTGATTCTACATGTTGATGAAATGAGTGATTTTTGAAGTGCTGGACATGTTTCTATTTTACAAAACAATTCTAGACCTCTTTGCTAACTCAGAGTTAATTTCTTTTTAATAAATTAAAAAAAAAAAAAAAGCACAAAAAACACATGCTTTCAGGATTAGTACCCCTTCACCCTACATCTATTACTCGACCATCCCACCAGACCTCACAGGAAATGAGACCAGCCTTTGCACTTAGTGTGAGCCTTCTCTGTTGCAAATAGTCACCATAAGGGAGATACATGCTTCCATTCTCAGCAAGCATTGACAGAAACAGGAAAAGGCTTTCAGGACAGCAGCACGTATATGATGTTCAGAAAGGAGGATGGCTAGGGAGGCAAATCAGATGATGGTAGCATGTTCTGTTTTATAATACCAAGTCTGGTATGTGCAAGAACACTATACCTAAACAGATGTCAATGGCCCAGAGATAACTGCTGTGAGGTTAAACACAACTGCCCTCTTATACTGAATGATGCTCTACATGTTCTGCTAATGCAACACAGCTCTTCAGCCATGGTTAAAATCTGAGAGAAAGATTTGGGAAGGGTAAAAGTTGGTAATTGAAATCTTAACTGACAACTTCTTGCCCTAATTTGTCTCCCTTTTTCTGAAAAGAGAATAAGTCTGAGCTGTTCATTAACATAACTTTTAACATGATCTAGCTTCCCCATAGCAACATCCCAAAAAGGGAGAGACGGTGTAAAGAGGTGTGAATGATGACAGAGGCAGCTTCCTTGGAAGTTGGTGCAAGACAACAACTGACTTCAGCTAGGTGAGAGCATGCAACTTTCCAAAACACATCAGAGCTTCCAACAGATAAAATAGGTCCCCTCACCCTACTTCCATTTGTCTGAATACCTTCTTCCCCTGCTTTCCCTTTTTATTTTAAAGGGCAAATGGCAAAATGTCACATGCGAGTTCAGGGAACTGCGTCAGATAAGACAGTGATAAGACAGGCCATGGCACTGAGCACCAGCTAATACTGTCACTTAGGTGTAAGTTACACTTCACACAAAATGGAAAGCTGCAGATTTTCTCTGGACTTCCTGAGGCAGGAAGATTAGGGCTAGTAGTTCCTGGATGGGTTTGGGTTTATCCATAGTTTATGTGTTTTTAGTCTGCTAAGACTGTGCCTTTTTCCCGTCACAGATGCACCTCATTGTATTCGACTCTTAGCAAAGTTCAGAATTATAGATAACACTCTATGCTAAGAGTTTAGGGAAAGTGGGAGCAAGGAATTTCAATAGCCTGCCTTGTTTAAACAAAGAGCCTGCTAGCATTTATTTTGTTATGCTATTACAACATTCTGACTTCCATGTAAACCTTCCCACAGGAATACAGATCTATGTTTTACTTTAGTTAAACATAGAATTTATTTGAAAAGTCATTAGAGCAAAAAGAATGGTTATCAAGTCATCGCTGTCTTGACTGTACTGAGATGAAAAGTAGGCATCTTTCTCAACAGAACAAGCAAGAGGTCTGTCACAGTAGAGAGTTCTTTAATATTATTTATTTATTTATTTATTTATTTTTCTTCTCCTCTGATAGCTTATCTCAAATCCTTGATCAGAGCAACTAGGAATTGTTCTACTCAGATGGCTTACTGCATTTTAAGTGGAATGCAATTTAGTGCTCTCCCATCTGACCAAAGCCAAATTCAGCAAGTGAAAACAATTTCCGACAACCAACACACTGATTCCCCCCACCAGAGGCCAGACAAAGGTTGTGGCATTAGAACAGATTACCCGCATTTGCCTACAGTGTGCCTTTGATAAAAGGGACTATTAGTCTGTAATGGCAGCTAGACTGTCCTCTGCAAGATAACATTAGGTATTTTCCAGAACTGAGTATCTGAGTTGTTTTGTGCTTTGTAATTGAGCATTGTAAGAAGCACTGCAGTGAGATCAGAGTAACAGCAAGAAATAAAAAGAGTACATTATATCTCTATGTACACTTCACAGCTCCTGTAATTTTTTTTAATGCACACATTTCTTTGCTGCCGCATTTCCTTTGGGTTTATCTGTGGTATTACTAAAGAAAAAAGGCAGTGTCTGTTTCAAAAAGCAGTTAATAATATATGCACCCCATAGTCCACCATAGCTTCAGAAAGCCAATTACTGTTAGACTGCTGCATAAACATATATTTAGGCACCACAAAAATGTGTAATTATTTACTGGATCCAGTACCTAATACATCATATCTGAGCTCTGAAATGGGAATTACATGATGGGATACAACAGCATCAAAAAATTGCTCTAGTATAAGAGGGGCCCTGCAGAGCTGTACTCATTAAATGCACTTATTAAAAATTGTTACTTTTTTTTTTTTTTTTTTAATTCCAAAATCACTCAGTCACTTTAAAAAGCTCATCATCATCAAATATCTTATCTTTTCTCATTACTTCTTGGAATACACTATGGCCCAGGAGAGCTTTGTAATTAATATCTGAAGACAACTTATCTCCAGGGAGACCTCATTGCGGCCTTTCAGTACTTAAAGGGATCTCATAAAAAGGATAGAGGACTCTTTACTTGGGTAGATAATGATAGATTTAGACCAGACATTAGGAGGAAATTCTTCACTGTAAGGGTAGTGAGGCACTGGAACAGGTCACCAAGAGAAGTTGTGGATGCCCCATTCCTGGAAGTGTTCAGGATGAGGTTGGATGGGGTCCTGGGCAACCTGATCTGGTAGGAGGTGTCCCTGCCCATGGGCAGGGGGTTGGAGTTAGGTGATCTTTAAGGTCCCTTCCATCCTGAGACATTCTGTGTTATGATTCTATGAAAAATGTTCAAGTTTGTCCTAAAGGAACAACGTGAAACTTATTGCAGGAGACTGGCAAGGCATTGCTGAGGGCTGGGCAGTAGCACATGCTAAAAAGAACAACCTGAGTTATTTTTATCCCCTGGATAGATTAATTTAGCATAGCCCCTTCAGGAAAGAGGCCTAGGTCTTGCTTCCCAAAAGACAACTGTAGTTAGAAGTGACCACATTAGTCTATTTTAGAAAAACAGTAGGAATTATTACTGAAAATGAGATTGCATTATATAAATTGGGCCATGTATTCGTCTTACTGATTCAGCTCATTTCTGCCACTGCCATCACAAAAACACTGCATTTAAAGTAAGCCAGAACAAAGAAAAGATTCAGGTCTTTGTTGTGCTTCTCTGTTAAGTGAAAATTGAATTATTTGCTCTTCATTTGTTATTGGCATCTCAGCTAAGGGACAATGTATACTTAATGCACAAAGTTCTGTTGTGTCTCTAGTTCAGAGCGATGACTTGCCCCTGAGCACAGCATTTTGGATAAAGATTACAATATCCTCCCACAATCTGTAAATGGAAACAGACCCCGGGTTTATTTTATATTCTGCTCCACATTTTACCTATTAGTGTGCAATTACAAGCTGGCGCTGCTATGGGAAACCTGCTTCCTTGCGATGCAATTCCAGCCATATTTCAAAGGGGGTTTTCCTACTCCTGCTTGCAAGTCAGAAAACATTGTCCCCAAAATGCAGATACATGAGGCTGCCAAGTGAGATCTACTGCTGGACCTGCCTGCCATGAAGTCGCATCAGCCTGGTCCTGCACCGCATCTCTCCAGTGGGACACCAGGCAAACTGCTCTCAGACCCCAGCAACACTGCTGCCTCTGCCTGAGGGAGACCTGTCAGCAAGCTCAGGCTTTGTGATTCAGGGTAGACAAGTCTTGCGGAAATGAGCAGTAAAGACAGTTGATTTAACCACTGCTTCTTGGACTGTGGAAAGGTTTCATGTTTGTTTATAGGCATAAAAAACAGTTAATTCTCACCTAATGAGACTTCAGGCATGTGGTACTCAGTCAACACAGCAACCTTCAAATTATTACACTGCTTGTAATACCCTTCTCTGTATTTGCTGTGGTAAATCAAGTGGTATTTTGTCTCAGCTAAGCACTGAACTTTCAGGCGTTCTAATATATTTGGATAAGCATGGCTGTAGGCTCCAACAGGGTAGTTGCAGTACATGTACACCAGTAGGAGTGGGGTGGGACCAGGACTGTCTCACTGGAGCTGTACACTGGGAAGTTGCCATCTACCTGGGGCTTTGGACCTTCCTACAACCATCTCCACATAATGGTGCACTTGATAACACACAGACAAATGAGCTATGCTTTTTTGAGGCAAAAGCATAGCCCAAACCTTTACACAATCTGTACTGCATCAGGGAGAGCTGTGCAAGTCTGGTCATGCAAAATGATTATCACTTTAGCGTGTGCAATATAATAAATGGAAATGAATTAGCTGCAGAATACATTTAGTCACATTCCATACAGACATATGCAAAGGGCATCCGTAGTACTTTTAATTGCGGTACAATAATCTCTTAAACACTAATAAATACTAAAACATTTCATCTGATGCTACTAATCACTGCATCCTCTTTGTTTGTGCCGCCACTAGACAACCTCCTTAAAAGTTTTTTTTTTCATAGAATAACATAAATTTCTCTTACAGATCTCCTTCTTCTGCAAATATTACACATTTTCCTGTTTCACTGGAGACCGTCAAACCTACAAGTCACAGGGCCATCCTATTCTCAGCATCAGGAAAGGCTGGTAGGGACTCACAGCACAGCAGGCTGAAGGACATTCAGCAGTGTGCCCTTGTGCTGTGGATATCTGGCAGCATGCTGTGCAGTCTGCCGAAGCAGTCTGCAAACCAGAGCTGGCAGTCTGAGGGAGGTTGAGCGCTGGTGAGAACACATCTGGGGTCTGTGAGCAGTGTGACAGTCCCCAGCACAAGAGTCTCAGCACAAAGTGGGCACTGAGACAGGTAGGGGGGTCGAGTGTGATGTTCCCATACGGGTTGATAGGTAGATCTGTAGGGCCTGGAGGCTGTGGGGGGAGCTACTGGACAGATGGTTATAGAGAAGGCTGAGCCATGCTTTTGTCAGATGTGCATGAAAAAGGGCATGAGATAATGGGCACAAGTTGCACAAGGGAAATTTCAGTTGTTTATATGAAAAAAAATAAAAATCATACTGCAGTTAAGTGCTGGAAGAGGCAGTCCAGAAGTACTGCGTAATTTTCATCCTTGGAGATATCCAAGCC